AAAAAAGAAATCTGTAGTCAAAATTTATGTATTTGGCTGATAAAGTTAGAAACCTCTCATAGTCAAAAGATATGTAAAAAGACAAATAGGCACACAGTAAAAGAATATATTTTTATGTATAATTGAGAAAGTATTAGTTATATAGAATATATACCAATTTTTTTTTGGGAGGGTGCTAGGGATTGAACCCAGGGCCTTGTGCATGCAAGGTAAGCACTCTACCATTTGAGCTATATCCCTGGCCCCTATATTCCAATATTTAAATAAATAAAAGATAATCCATTCTGAGAAAAATAGACAAAACAATTAAAATAGACTCTTGACTAAAGAAGTAAAAATRGCCAATAATCATAAAAGTCTCAACTTCTTTAACAAAGAGGTGAAATTAAATCATAATTAGATTCTACTTCGTGTCGTAGAATCTACATGTTAGTAAAACACCAAAGGCTGGCAACACCAGGTTATGAGGGGAGGTGGAACAAGAAGAGCTGGTGGTAGAAATGCAAAGGAGTAGTTCACCACATGGTAGGTAGTTGCAGGTGTGAGTGTACACCTTTTTGATTCAGCAGCTGGGTCTCTACACGTGAACACTAGAGAAACTTGCACTGTACACAAAGAGAAATAGACTTTTTTTGTTCCTATAACTTTATTTTGCAAATTGTCAAGCCTATGGAAAAGTGGCAAATAAGCATACCATATATGATAAAGCCTTCATAGACGCTGGCTAAGCAAAATATGGTAGTTTGTGGAGAGAGCATGCCTGGGCTTTGAAGTCAGTGAGTGATACTTGCACTGAAATCCCAATTCCATCACTTATAGCTCTGTCATCAAGGGAGACCTATTAAAATCTGTAAGCCTCGGTTTTCTCATCTGCCCTGGATACAATAATATGCCTACCATATCAATAGCATAAGGATTAACTATATCAATGTTTATAAGGCACTGAGATAAAGTGTCAGCAACATAGTAGTTGCCCTGTAAACTATGGTCACTATTATTATTTTTTGTTGTAATGGTGGTTAAAATGATAATGATGTATTTTTATATTTCCAGAGCCTTTTAATTACAGCACATTTATTGATACATACTCATTGTGAATTTTTTCACCATAGAATATTAAGTAATTCTGGGGGGAAACGGCATTTTATTTAACCCTGTATTGCATTTTTTCATTTTCCTATTAAAATTTTGTTATTAGAAAGTACAATCCAAAGAGAAAACATGATCATGACAAAAAAAATGTTTTTATAATTTAGGAAATTATGCAGAATTAAAAACTTCTTTTGAAAAATAAAAATGTAATTTTATCAAAATTAAAAGAAACTGAGGGCTGGGGTTGTGGCTCAATGGCAGAGCGCTTGCCTCGCACATGTAAGGCATTGGGTTCAATCCTCAGCACCACATTAAAATAAACAAACAAAATAAAGATATTGTGTCCATGTATAACTAAAAAAAAAAGAAACTGAAGCACAAAAAAGTTTTTAAAAAGTTCTTTAAAACATAATATGAGAAATAAAAAGTGTTTCCTAATTTCTAATCCAAGAATCTACACAGTAAATTATACTATCAGTAATTATTTTAAAAAAACACACACACTTTAATAAATAGCAGTAGCCTTTAGCACTAAAGCTGTGGCCTTCATTTCTTTAACTACAAAATAAGTGAAATCACATGAAAAACCTTTGAGCTTCTTACTCTCTAGTGAAATATGACTCTATGTCTGAGGACTTTCTCACTGACCACCAGAACCACAGTCGTCTTTTCTTCTTGGGAACTGCTGCCTATACCTCACTCTTCTACTTTCCTACCTAGTCATGATTATGTTGCCCCATTGTACCTTTACTTATCTTTTCATAAACATCTTGTATCTCCAGTTAGATCATATTTTCTTGGGGTTGCAGACCTCTTTTTATGTATCATTATGTTTAAAAGGTTTTAAGTGTAAAAAAAAAATTAAATGTGATGGTCTTTAATAGCACCTAGTGTGGTGATTTTGCACAGTGTAAGTACAGGATAAATGCTTGATGCAAATGACTGTCAGATTACGGTTGGCAAAAATAGGATTAGCCATCGTAGTCATTGTAACATGAGCATAGGATTTGGGATCCTGCCTCAAAAGCAAATATGTCTATTTTCCTTTGTTTTAGAAAGACAGTATGGAGCGGATATTTTCTGGTATTCAGCCTACAGGAATCCTCCACTTGGGAAATTACCTAGGAGCCATTGAGAGCTGGGTGAGGTTACAGGATGAATATGACACAGTGCTATACAGCATCGTAGACCTCCACTCCATCACCATCCCTCAAGACCCCACCATTCTTCGGCAGAGCATCCTGGACATGACTGCAGCTCTTCTTGCTTGTGGTATAAATCCAGAGAAAAGCATCCTTTTTCAACAATCTCAGGTCAGCATCTCGGATTAGAATCGAGAACAATATTTACTTTCAGATTATTTAAGGAAAAATTTGAATGATTCATACAGCTCCCGTTCATTTTTTTTTTAATTGTTCAAGGGCAKCTTCATCAAATGCAATTGTTTTTGTTTAATGTTTTGTCTATATACCTATCATTATGTATCCATATATTTCTTTTTTTTAATTTAGTTTTTAGTTGTAATTKGACACAGTACCTTTATTTTATTTATGTTTATGTGGGGCTGAGGATTGAATTCAGGGCCTTGCATGGGCTAGGTGAGCACTCTACTGCTGAGACACAATCCCAACCCAAGTATCCTTATATTTCAATAGTGTTTTTTAACTTATCTTCCACTGGGCTTGGCAAATTTATAGTTCTTCATCTAGCAAAAAAAGTTGTATCTCTAATAGTTTTAATCCTGGAATGTTTTTTTTCCTTTGCTCTATTGCAAGAATCATTGAACCAACRATTTTGTGCTATTGACTAATCTCTTTATGATCAAGGACAGAATTTAGTGACCAGTGGTTTTATGTAATTCCAATGTTGCTTTCTTGGGTATTGCATTTGGAAGGCCTATTGGATAATCCCCATTGTTCATTCTTTGTCTAATAGCTTTTGAGAAGATTTGATAGAACAAGCTGGGAAATTGGAAGACAAAGTCCCAGTGTCTTGTGTCCAAGCCAAGAAAGGCTTCAGAGCAAAGCCAAAATATTTGACTCATATCTTTACTATGGATGAATCAGTTTATTCTTGGACATGCAGAGAGCCTGGCCCAGAGAGAGGACAATTATGAAATGCTTTAACAAAGAAGATAAAAATTCTAACTGATCCATGCCCTCATTACATATCTGCTTTAACCTGCAGCAAAACCTCAGCCAAGGAATGACCTCCCTTGATTATAATCTTCTATCATTATTTTAATATGTTTTATTGTCCACAGAACTTAATGTAATGATTCACATAGATCAACCCATTACATATGCAGTAAGGCTGGGGGTATAGTTCAACGGTAGAGCACTTGCCTAGCAATCCTCAACACCTCAAAACACAAATACACACACACACACACACGCACACGCACACGCACATGCATGTACACACACACTGAAAAGTGTCTTCAAAAAATAAACAAGGATCAAACCCAGTGCCTCTCCCATTAAAAAGGTAAAGGAATTCTGTTCATCTACAACTAAAAAAATATTTTAAAAAATAAAATAAATGAGTTTATCAACTTAAGCTTGTTGCCAATATGTAGATATTTGATAAAATAATAGAGTGGAATTGCTAATGGCAATTTACTCCAACTTCCTTATAATTCATCACTAAGCCTTTACTTACACATGATTTTCAAATTCAATGTTGGACAGCTCTAATTGCTATAAGGTTCTAGCTCACATTGAGCAAACATCTGCCTCTCTATAATTTGCATCATTCATTTAATTTCTGCTGTCTAAGTATAGACAATAAATAACTCTCTCTTCACACACCTGTTCTTCAAATACTTGGAAACCTGGATTATGTGCCATCCCTAGTCTACAGGTTTTACCTTATTCCAACCAGTTGTCCCCGCTTCTCTCACTCTTGTTCATCGTATCTCAGAAGCACTCTCACCTTCTCTCTGAAAATATGAAACTCTCATATTTCATGAAATAATGTTTCTTCAAACTCTTTGCATCTATTTCTGACATTGGAAAGCTGGTCATCATCAGAGCCACTTCTTGAGTCACCTAATGCATTTTGCAAAGCACATTCATCTTCACTCCATCTARGCTGTTTTTGATATAAGCGCTCTTTTGATCCTTATTTGATGTTATTTCTAAAAATTTTAGTCCCGGCAACAAGTACCTACACCTATATTTCTTAGGTGAATATGTCTACTCTCCACAAAATAACCACTTACAGGATTGCTTTTGTAAGTAATCTTTAAAATTAAAGGCTTATTTATAGCCATATCCAAAGACTACACTTTGAACTTATTCCTCCAGGAATAATTACCATATGGTAATCTTTCTCTATTAACATATTATAAATGTTGTCTCCTTTGTAAAGGATTTTTGGCAGTGACCTTCATAAACACTTAAAATTTTCTTTTTTTTTTTTAAAGAGAGTGAGAGAGGAGAGAGAGAGAGAGAATTTTTTTAATATTTATTTTTTAGTATTCGGCGGACACAACATCTTTGTTTGTATGTAATGCTGAGGATCGAACCCGGGCCGCACGCATGGCAGGCGAGCGCACTACCGCTTGAGCCACATCCCCAGCCCCTTAAAATTTTCAATAATTCCACTGTACTTTGTCATTTAAAATAGCAATTATGATAGAGTAAAACCTCAATATGAGAGACTTTGTAAGGGCTCTCTCATAAATGAAGGATAAAAAATTTCTCCATCTCTTGAAAGGTGACTAAGGAGATCATTGGTTCCAAGAAGGCTGTGGGTGTAGGTAGGTCAAATAGTGGAGGTGACCAGTGTTGACAGGCATGTGCCTGCCTCCTGGTAGCCTCAGTGCAGCCCCGAGCCGTCACAGTTCCCTCTCTGCCATCTCCGACTTCAGCTCTGTTGGGGTGGATTTTGATAGTTTGCCAGTAAAACTTAAAGGGAGTATTTGTTTTGCCTACCTTTCACAACTTTTCTATCAAAGCAAATGTGAAAGATCTCCTCAGGTGTCTTTCTGACCACAAAACATGCAGACTTAGCCATTCTCTTCTTTTTTGGATAAGGCAACCAACCTTATTGTGTAGATACACCAGATATTTTATCAGACTCGCATTCCTCTTTTTAAATATTAATGGAAGAGAACTTTTTAAGAATAGTGTATTGTGATTCTCATCACTTAACACGATGTGGCTTATCTCATCAAGTTATTTTCTTGTTGCTGTTGAAGCATTTTAATGCAGATACTACACATTATAGCATTTTTCTTCCTTAATAATTCAGTATGCCTCTCTATAAGTTAATTAATTTTTTGTGTGTGGGGTGGGTGGTACCAGGGACTGAACTAAGGGGCACTTGACCACTGAGTCACATCCCCAACTCTATTTTTTATATTTTATTTAGAGACAAGGTCTCACTGAGTTGTTTAGCACCTCACTTTTTACTGAGGCTGGCTTTGAACTCATGATCCTCCTGTCTCAGCCTCCCAGGCAGCTGGGATTACAGGCGTGCACCACCTTGCCCGGCAAGTTGAGTAAGTTTTTGTATATAATCATAATGCTATCATCACACCTAGCAAAGTTATTAATTCTATATTATTACCTAATACCCAGATTACTCTGATTCTCCCCAAAATGTTTTTGGAGTTAGCTTCTTTGATGGATGATCTACCAAAATCCACACATCATATTTTATTATAGATTGAAATCTTTATGTGTATATGTGCTCTTTGATTTGTTGATCATGTTTTATTTTATTTCCTATAAAGTAAGTCCTTCTGCATTTAAAAAATTTTAAACTTCAATTTTTATGGTTTTACTTTTTTTATACCTTTGATAGATTGATCAAGTTTTCTTTTACTTGCTATAAAGTTAATTCTTATAAACTTAAAAATAAACCTTAATGTTGTGTTGCTGTCCCTTTGCACTAATCTGTGTAATCAGATGTTTGGTGACTATAAACTGCTGTCCCATGGAGTTGCTCGTCCTTCTGTTCCTTAGTTTAAATAGAATGTGTGCTTGCCTGGTGCCCACAGAGCTCCTCGAGAGAAGTATTATGTATTGGTTCCTTTAGAAAGACCATAAAGCTTCAGTCGTTCATAGATAGTGATGGAAACATCCTCCTCATGTTTTATCTTCAGACTGTGAAGGCGTGTATTAGCTTTTGCTTCTTAGAACCATTTCTAGAAGAAGTATAATTGAATAAGCTAGTCTCCAGAACAATTATTTCTAAACACAGGGCCCCCTGTGTGCAGTGCTATAGCATGTGAAAGAATCATCATAGGCTGTGATTTATGGTTGTGATCCAAAAATCAATAATTAACTATGTCTTTGTTTTCCCATTTATTTTAATTGACAAAGATTGTATATATTTATGTATACAATGTGTGATGTTTTGGTATATGTATAGGTTGCAGAATGGCTAAATCAAGCCAATTAGCATATGTATTGCCTCACATACTTTCATGTGGTGARGCAATATTTTTGCAATATTCAAGCATACTCTACATTGTTATATAGCCACCATATTATACAGTAGGTCTATTAAACTGTATTCCTCCTGTGATTTTATATCCTGTGTCCTTTAATGAACATTCCCATTTTGCCTCACTCTCCCCTGATAATCACCATTCTAGTCTCTGCTTCTATGAGTTTAACTCTTTTAGATTCTACATGTGGTCTCTATGGTATTTATCTTTCTGTGCTTGGCTTATTTCATTGAACATAATATCCTCCAGGTACATCCATGTTGTTACGAATGAAAGGATTTTCTTTCCTTCTTTTTTAGTTCTGAATAGTGTTTTATGGTATGTATATGCCACATTTTCATTATCCTTCGTCTGTTGGTTGACACTTAGGCTGATTTCCGTATCTTGGGTATTGCAAATAATGCTATGTTAACCATGGGAATGCAGGTAGCTCTTTCACATATTGGTTTCYTATCCTTTGGATATATATCACTGGTGGGTTTATATGCAATTCTATTTTTAAGTTATTGGGGAACCTCCATACCACTTTCCATAATGGCTATTCTAATTTCCAGTACCACTAACATCATGCAAGAGTCCCCTTTCACTAGTAACCATTCAAGCAGGTGTGAGATAATCAATCCATGAAGTGTTCAATGGATGGGGACAGAAAAAATAATAATAATCGGCATCAGCATTTTAARATTCATTAAAAAGGGAAGTCATGTTTATTAGAAAACTAATATTTTTAAGAGTAAGGTTTACCCAGCCCTTTCATATGCATGACTTTTCTTTTTCTTTTTTTTTTTTTTTTGAGAGAGAAATTTTTTAATATTTATTTTTTTTTAGTTTTTGGTGGACACAACATCTTTG